GCTGATTACTTATAGTGACGTTGTTACTAATGTCAAGGGGGATGTCGTGGGATTTAAACACTTTATGATGTTATTAATGGTATTTATGAATAAAATCTACCAAGACTAATGGGTTATTTTTATTTGCAGCAAGATTTCAGTTTGATATTCTCGGTAGTGAATATATACGCATATTAAAACAGAAATAGCCGATTTTCTTAAATTTTGCAGAATTTCGATTTGCAACAGTTCACTTATTCATAAATCTAAGAAAATTATTTTAGGTGGAATCTGTGAAATTCTGGAAGTCAAAATAAGATATTAAAATAACTATTTGAAATTTCACCATCAGAAATATATCTTTCAGTTTCGAAACATTTGATGAACCGAACGTACTTCATTATTTCAGTTACGCAAGCATTTTCACAAAACAGTTAAAAAAATGCTGTTGATGATGTGAGAGTTGTGAACATACCTACTACATAGGGCGATGCCAATTAAATGCATTTCAGTTTCCAGATTTAACATTATTAAAGGAAAGAGAATAAACCAGGTATCTGGAATTCTATCTCCATAATTTTTTTATGTCGACTCTGCTTGGGTATCTCCTACGGTTACCGCCGTTTTCAAGCCCGGATAAGGCAAGAAGGTCGGGTATGAGGTTAGTGACCCCACTAGTAAAGAACAAATCTCTATAAAATGCTAACCAGAACAAATAATTCAAACTCTGCTCTGAGAGGTGGAAGGTCTTTATTTAGAAGTGCTATGTCTCATGACGAAAGCCGAGTTTCTTCGGAAAGTACAAGGCCACTGCCCCTACATACAACCACAGCAACAATTATATAGGTACATTGTGAGAGACATTGTGGGAGACTAGCAGAAACATTCAAGTCACAGTGGGCATGAGAAAATACAAGCTGATGGTACTTGGAATAAATGGAGCCCATTGGACAAAACCTGGATAATAAAATAAGCTTCAGGATAAATATTGGTGCACTCCGGTCATGAAGAATAAAATGACTCACACCGGAATTTGCACGGACGCTACCCTAAGAAGCCCAAAGTGCACTTATAGAATGGGGATCTTATGAACCAACTGTCATCAAAGCAACATTCAAAATACAGCAAGTCTGACAGTTATGATAGGACATCAACGTTGGAATGGACAACACTGGATATGAAGACATAGTGGGACGACATGGAATACGAGAAAGAAACGAAAACGATGAGAGACCCGCAAACCTATTTGCCTTCAAAAACATGGTTATAGGTGGTACTATGTTCCCGTACAAACTTATACACAAAGCTACATGGGTTTCATCGGATCGAACTACACAAAACCAAATCGACCATATTTGCATCAATAAAAAGTTCAGATGGACAATGGAAGATGTAAGAATAAAGTGAGGAGCAGACATAGCTTCCGATCACCATGTAGTATTGGCAAAGATAAAACTGAAGAACCACTGAACAACTGGTCGAAAATCAAGACAAAAGTTTAACACCGCCTTTCTTCGAGATACTGGCAAAACTCAATAAATTAAAGGTAGTCCACAGCAAAAAATTCCAGGCCTTTCACGATCTACTCAATGGAAATGAAACTACCATGGAGAACAACAAGAAAGAGATCGAAGAAGCGATAACTTCAGCATGTCAACAAGAACTTCCATCACAAGGAATGGATCGTTGTTGATATGCTGAATAAGATTCACGAAAGAGAGAGCAGAAAGACAGTGACAGATAAGCCAAGGCACAGGCCGAATGCACAGAGATCAACAAGCAAGTGGAGAGGAACCTTAGGAACGATTAACGTAAATTTGTAGAAGATCTAGCAACGGTAGCAGAAAACGTTGCAAGAGAAGGAAACATGAGACAATTAACTATACGATACAACGAAGAACCCACTGGAAAACACAGTTAACTAGAACGAACAGTGAAGAGGAAGGAAGGCAATGCAGGTGGGTAAAGCACTTTGAATAACAGTTGAGTTGACCAGCCCCATTGAAACGACCAAACATCGAGGTAGAACCTACAGACCTCTCAATTTATGCTGATACAACAAAATTGACGAGATCAGTATGGACATCAAACAAATCAAGAATGGAAAGGCAGAAGGACCAGAGAGCATACCAGGTGAAGCAGACATAGCTATGAGTACAAAGATGTTACCCACTTTATTCAGAAAACTTTGGGAGGAGGAGCAAGTACCAAGAGACTGGAAAGGACACTTCATCAAGATACCAAATAAGGATCTTGGTTAGTGTGCGAACCACAAATGCATTACTCTACTCTCAATACCCGGAAAAGTCTTCAATAGAGCTCTGTTAAACTGAATGAAAGATTCAGCAGACACCCAACTTCAGATCTACAGGCTGGATTCCATAAATACCGGTCATGTACCGACAGAATCGTAACACTTCAGATCATTGTGTAACAATCAATCGGACGGTATTCGCCACTATATATCAATTTCTTTGACTACGGGAAAGCATTTGGTAGTGTCAACACGATGATATTATGGAGGCTTCTTCGACATTATGGCGTGCCTAAGATTGTTAACATCATGTAGGATTCTTACGATGGATCATACTACAAAGACAAGTATAGAGGGCAGCTCACAGACTCGTTCCGATTGAAGACCAATGTCAGACAAGGTTGCTTGCTCACACTCATTCTCCTTCTTCTGTTGGTCGACTGGATTATGATAACGTCAACAACTCAGTGTAAGCTAGGAATACAGTGAACAGCTAGACGATTTGGACTTCGCGGATGATCTAGCTCTTCTATCTCAAACACAGCAACAAATGCAAATGAAGGTGGTTTTCTTCTAAATGTGAGGGCACGTGTTAACAAAGCAAGAGCAATATTTTCACACCTGACAAATATCTGGAAATCGAAACAACTGTCAAACAACGCCAAAATCACTATTTCCAATACTTACGTCAAGAGAGTTTTACCGTTTGCGACGGAAACATGGAGAACCACGAAAGACGTCATCAAAAAGATTCAGATGTTTACTAACAGTTGTCTACGCAAGATACTTTGGACCCATTGGCCAGATACCATCAGCAAAAACCTGCGGTGGGAGAGAAAAAACCAGATTCCAGCTGAGGAAGAAATAAGAGCGCTGGAGGCGGATATGACGCACATTGAAGGAACCATAAAACTGAACCACGAAGGAAGCCCTGACGTGGAACCCTGATAGCCAAAAGAAGAGGAATACATTCTGCCGAGAATAGGAGACGAACACGAAAGGAATGAATAGTAATTGGATAGAACCGGAAAGGTCGAGGATGGAATAGGTCAGAGAGTGCTGGTCGGCGGTCCATGCGCCATAATTGGTAACAGTGAGTAATTGTTTTATGTCGTTCTTTCCGCCTTATTCGATAATCTACTGAGTTTAATTTATAGTGCATCCATTTTTGAATGACAGATTGTCTTAAATCCTCTTTTGGATCGTCAATTGTTATCGATTAGTTCCGATATTGAATGCAAGTGTTTCGTTTAATTTCTCAACAGTAGAAGATTTTCTTTTTTTATTTCTCTTTAAATTCACATGCTTGAATACCCCAGTGGAATGCCAGTGTCAATCGTATAAGGGCTTTTTCCATACTTCTCTAACAATATACTCAAATGCCGAACCCACCTAGCATTAAGAGTTAAAATCCAATCTTATTTGTCTAGTTCTGCCTTCATTGATTCGTCTCCGTAAATTAAATAGCTGGTTAGTCATTTAGATAGTAAAGTTTAGAGTTTTACAAATAAAACTTCGACTATAAGTGTAGCACCCAACATCAGTCAAGGACTATACAGAAAGCTAACTAGCTTTTAATATTGTATTCACTTGATTTTCATCTAAGAGTAGGCTTTGAAATGTTCTCAACAGTAGCAGCATACAAACAATTGTTTCATTAAAGAAACACATTTTAACACGTTTTTATTGTACTACTATTAATTTTCCAAATCTGTTAACTGGTTACTGAGATCAATTTTAGTGTCTTACAACGTAGGTTATAAATTGAGAAATATTCTGTGGCTAACATAAATAGCCAATCAAGGATTATCTATTATTTTCGCTGCCACTATGTCTTGCATACAAATATCTTCTGATCACATTTATTCTATATTGTGTACAAGGAAATGATGTACTCAGTAAATAAGAAGCCACTAATGGATCAAGAATCGTTACTGGAAATTCACAAGAAATCATCACTCAGCTACATCTGAATACATTTGACAGATATATAGTTTTCATCGTTCCAATTATCCAAAAAGGATAAATGACCTCAATCACCTAACGTAGTGTTTCTTAGGCCATGTTACTAATCGTTCCATTGTATACTTTGCAATGATACAGGCATCTTTGTTTAAATATCTAGTTCGCATTACTTTCAATTGATTTGTAGCATTAGTTTCTCCAAGCTTTTTGTTTTCGTAGTTCGAAAACTTTATAACTTATTTAAAAATATATTTTATTTTATTTAAGTAGGTATTGATGTAATATTGTAAATATAAGTCCTTTAAGTGACATTAACCAAAGGTTAGACAGAACGGCATTACTTACAAGAAATTATTCCTAATCAATAGAACATAAATGAAACTTTAGTGAGAATAGATGTCTTTTTACTCCATCAACATAGACTCATCAATGGTACAGATATCACATGTTAAGGTGGACAGACCGGAATTATTATCATATAAGCCCGAAATTTCCTACGGTTATTGATGGTAATGCTTACATTCTGAATATACGTTGCTAGAGTAAATTAATAGATTGATAATAAATGATAACGAAAACAGTTGAGTTTAAATGTTTAATTGCATAGTGAGATGAAATTTTTGTTTTTATAGAAATCGGTAATAAAAGAGTATTGTTTAAGATCGAATAATTAACTGGTACTAATTTGTACAATTTTCTAGTAATATTGAACAAGAGAATCACTGATTAGAACAGTAATGAGTCCACTATTATTTTAAAGTCGAACACTGTCTTCCATGGCAGAACAATAAACGTCAATCAATTAAGGAACCATTTGTCGAATGACAACTTCACGTTGATATTCAATCCAATCATTATCACATTGAATGGCAGATACGTCTGTACTGTTCGAACTCTGTTGTTTTCTTCTAGGAAGTTCGCATGAATTAGAACAAGTAAAAATGTAGAGTGAGCCGAAATCTGGATTTAATTCACCAACTTTATCCAATTGTAAGTGACACAAGATTTGAGGAGTGACCTATGGAATCACAACAAAACTAATTAGAGAAAGAGTTTTATGTCATTAGGCAGAAAATTTTCACAGCATCTAAATAAGGACGGAGTTCAATCAGTTACACTCAGAAAAGATATATCACTTTCATCAGCATATCTAAGCCTCAAGTTTTCATATCCGTAGAACCAAGGTATGGTTCCATAAAAGTGAGAGTTGGAACATATCAGCAAAATGTTTAAAGGATCTGTTTATTTATTTAAAATACAAATATTGGTACAAGTAGGCACCGAGATATATATGTATCCAGCAACAAAATTGAGGTTGTGAAAAGATAGAGAAAGAGCGGTAAGTACAACAAACAGGGGAAAATGGATAAAAATTAGTGTATGAGAGTGACATAATAGTAATAATAGTGTGAGAAATAGTTCATTTAAGGAAAAACAATCAGAAAGAATCTTTTCAGTTACTTAGTTGCATCATCTCTAGGACCCCAACCAGGGAGTGATGAAAGACCAAAGGATGGCAGTTCTGTACAGTTTTCTTTCATACCACGACAATATGTCATATACCGACCTCCTCTCCACTTTTCCCAACCAGTCTCAGAGCTGGCAAATAATGCACGATGAGGAATTCACCAGGATGACATTCGTAGTACAGGTCTGGACCACCATAGTCGGTGTTACAAGATGGTGTTACCAACCGAATTATCGTCGCTGTGATCAAACGCATGTTGCTGAACCTCCACATTACTAACATGATGCTGCCCTGAATGTCACTAGTCCTTCGGAGATAGCGGTGGTTGAACAGATGTGGTTGAGAATAAAAGCCAGTTTTGACCCTGCAATAATATTCCTTTAATTTCCACACATAGTTTAGAAAAACTTCTTTGACTGAAAAGGTTCTTTCTGATTGTATTTTCCGTAACTGAGCTGTTTCTCCCACTGTTACCACTATTATTTCACTCTCATACACTGAGTTCTATCCATTTTTGTTACGCTCACCGTTCTTTCTCTATCTCTTCACAACCAGATTTTTATTGTAGGGAAAATGATGAGATAAAAGAAATAGACAATAATTAAACATTTCAGGACTAGATATCGCACGTATAGAATGAAAATTTGCCATAAAACTGACATACAATCCCATTGAAGTCACACCTTTCTCACAGATCGTCTAATTGTGCATATGATGCTGCGGTTTTTGTTATGCAATGACTGATCATGCTTATAACACCTCAAAAAGAATGTATGCAGTCAAACAGTCACACAAACTTGCAGGATGTTTAAGATATAAGTGCAGATAACAACCATAATCACTTTCGTAAATCTTGGGTGTGAGACACCAATGTATACGAAGCGTTAGCAGATTGGTATTCCTGGAATATGTTAGTAGGCACTTAAGAGACAATAAGCTCAAAAATAATTTCAAGTTAGGAAAGATTAAGTTTGTTAGCGTGGATGACTTGCTGTCTGGATCGACTTATCGGTGGTCTTCAGGATGAAGTTTAATGTCTTCCTCGAATTTATACTCAACAGTCTATCATACTATATTCACCGGTCTAGTAGATATACTGCACAAATCCGTTTTAAGTGCACCTCAACTAATACTTAGTACTGCAGGTTAATTTTACGGTAGTATCGCGATTAGATATACTATTGTGAGAATAAACTATTCTAATAATTTGATAGATTGTCATAAACTTAATTAATCATCAGATGATCTATGTTACATGACATCGGTTAATAATTTATAACCTATTATGCACAAGATCAATGTGGTGAATTTGAAATAAACTACAACACTTTGAAATATAGGAGATAGAACGAAATCAACTTTATGTTTGTAAAAGTTTTACCTGGAATTCAAAAATACGTTCAGCACCGCAAACTTCACACTTTTCAACTTCTACAGGATCATTACTCAACCAAATTGGTTTGCCACCTCTATGAAACCGTACAACCTAAATAAAAGTAAGGACAAACAAGGACTTGGACAGTTTAATAAGCAATACTACAGAAAATTAATACGGCCGATTTTCTAGGTGCTAGCAAACTCAGAGAGCTCACGATGGATAGCTAAAAATTTTTTACCTATGCCTACCCACCGACTGCCTTGACGAGCAACAATTTGTGGTGTGAGAGTAGGCTGGAAGAAAGCAAACGGTGGCCAAACTAACATATGGCACAGGCCCATGAGGTCACTGACAAGTGAAGTGCGTCATTTTGGTAAGTGCAGACTATCTGACTGGGGTCCGCTAGATGATACAAACCGATGGTTAGAGACCTCAATGGATAGAAATCAAAACTGTTTGCAATCGCGCACGTGCATCCACAATTTGTATTTTCTTTCTGAATTCCTTATCATCTCTTTCTCTTTCTAAACTTATTTTACTGAATCATACTTCTTGAATAATTTCTTCGAACCCTAATCTTCTACATCTTCGTTAATGCACCTATCACTACCACTATGGGATTTGAACTGACAATTACGTCTCTGCGCTAATATGGTATGGGAACTTGAACTGATGTACGTACGTACAAATTTCTACGTTGTAATTGACTGACTGATATCAATTGATACTGTAAAATATCTTAATGTAAGGTTAACTTTAACTGATTATTTTGGAATGAACTAAACTGCACCAAACCACTAAAAAAGGATTTAAAACTGCAATGACTGCTTTAAGATTCCACCTGTTCAGTTTAAAGAGTATTACGAAAAATAACCAGTCTTACGAATCATAAATCAGTGTCAAACTGTATCAATTAACGGCATATTAACACAGAATATATGTACGTAATTACTTGGTCAGGAGCTGGTTTCATTGCTTCTTTAAACACTCTAAATCTGGCTTCTTCTTTAGTCTCCTTCTTGGCTATAGATTCAAGCGCTTCAAATTCAGAATCACTGGAAAAAGTTAAAATTAGACAATCTGAATTGCTTTTAACTAACAGAGAAACATAAAGATAACGCTGATAGAGTATAAGATTATTACGATTTTTTACACATCATCACTATTTAACGTGTTTCGTTTTTATGGAAACGACAAACCACACTCCCATGTTTGAAGAAAACAGAGTCGACGTCTTTACTTGAAAATACTTGGAATTATTCATAGAAAATATATCATTGTTATAACATTGTACATATTTTATGCAGCAGATAAATCCAATTATTGAATGGATTAAAGACTAAAGTTAGGACTATGTGAAATTACTGCTACATTGATGCATTAATTTGAATCTATAAGCCCAATATATACCTAAATTGATATATAATAAGTATGAGAATGACGAAGTCTTAGTAAACGAAATGGTACCCAAAGTCATAACATATTTTAAAACTGTATACCTAAACTGTTGAATCACAGCTTCAGTGAGATTTGGGGCTGGTTTTAAAAATTTATTGACCAGTGTAAGTAAAGTCCCCCCAAATCTATACCTGTCAACTAATTCGTAAAAGTAGGAAGATCGATATTTAAAGTACATGATGAATATGATGTAATCCTTCTACATGAGAAACTGGACAAGATGACAAGTTACAGTGTTTTCTGACATTTTTGTGACCGATTCTGTTCTTTGACGTAGCTGTTATCGTTACCCATACATCTACCTACGTCCTCAAGACTTAACATTAAGTTTTCGGAAAAACTCAGTTGTCTTTTGAATAAAAATCAGTAAAAACAACTAAGCACGTGCAATCAAACCATCTTAAATACATGTTTTGCGTTTATAGAGTAAACTGTATCAATATTATAGATTGAATGAAAAAAACAGAAGTACTAATAATACTGGGACTAAATTAGTGTTACTTAATTACCTAATCCAGATTCCCTGACAAGCAAATATGTTTGCTATATTCCATTTTTAATGTGTTGCACTTTTTATACGATTTTGAGAACAGTGATGCTAAACTCGGGGAAATTAATGATTCAGTGGTTTTAAGAAAGCTTACAATGGTCTTGTCAGGTAGTTATTGAAATTAGACGATGAGTGAAATGATTATGCAATAGGCCAACAAATTTAGTTTACTTGTATATCGATGATAACTTTGGATTGAGATTAAACGACAAGAATTTTTAACTAGAGATAACATGAGTTTACTTGAGATAACGGACAAATGAAATGTCCGCATAAAGCAGAATTCGAGTATTTTCGCCTTAATAATTTCAAACGTCAAATAACCTAGTACGAAGTTTAATGCCACGCAAAACTATCACATGTTAGAAAAACAATAAAAATGGCACACTAGATTAGCATCAATGTCCACATACAATAGTATGTCGTATTACAATTACCTTACTTTAGAAGTCCCGATTCCGAAGTTTCGGTATCGCTTTCCTCTGCTGAATTATTGTCATCATCCGAAGTAAAGTTATCTGCAGGTTCAGAACATAAACGGTATTCAGGAAGTAAAAAACTATTCTTTTCAAATAATAACATATCATCGTGACATTTTGAACCACATTCTAACTTATGTCGCTTCCAATCTAGTACCTAATTCAATAAAAAGGAATATATCTAATAGAATCAATAAACCCGTTGTACCTGATGCATTTTGGAACAATAAAAAGTAGATTTACACTTCGAACAAGTTTTGTCTGCTTTACACCCACATATTGGGCAGATAGATGAATATTTGCCAGCCCATGGAAAACGGTTAGCCTTTATCATCGAGTTTACAATTTCACGACTGGGAAATTCATCCTCTGGGGGCTCAAAACTTCAAAATAACAGTTATAAGAAAATACATAACTACCTGTAGTATCCATTTTGTCTTGATAACTGAGAACGAAACACATGAAATGGGGCACGATCAGACTTATAGTGACATTCACTGTTTCGACACATAAATAAGAATAACATCCTATGAAAACAGTCAGGTTTTTCAGATAGCGGAGAGTATATCTAGGCAACATAAGTAGCTAAGGTGCTGAAATACCTGTAATAAAAAGCACGTTGGATTCAAACATACTGGACACTTTAGTTCATCAGGAGATGGTAAGTGTTGAAGAGCTAGCCAAGCTGGCCGCCCACCAACTTTATCGGGGAATAAATGAGGAACCAAGTGCCAGGACGCACCCTCAACAGCGAAACCAAGGGCAAGTCCAGTTGACATAATATGATAAAAATTGTATTACTTCTAAAATAAAAGGTGAAAGTATTATAATCAGAGTCTACATCGTAGTTGTAGCAAAATGAATTCACTAGAGTAACTACATACAAATAGTGATAAGATCTTTAGTGAAATAAACTTGGCAGGTTGTCAGGATTTCTAATTGGTAAGCGTTGTATGGTTTCATATATAGCAAGTTCGAGAGATATTAGCAAGTCCAGAATTGTAAAGGACCAGATTGGTCAGTTGAAGGAATCCATCAATAATGAACTGAATAAAGACAAACTACTTGAACTTGTGTATGTTTTTGATATTCAGCTAAGGCATTGTGGAAAAGTGACACTTTCTAGTGGTGCCCGATAATTTCACCCCTCTCCAGTACGACGGGTGGTGAAACTATTTTAGCGGTTCTACTGAAAGAATATTATTGTTGCCAAAACTACAGTAAGGAATAAAAGGCCATTCCCTGAGTGAGTTGATCAAGAAATCCACTAACACATAGAGCTTGCTTTCTACTTTGGCTCACATAATAATTAGGTTATTAACTCAAAAATCAAGCGATGGCCTTTCATTTTAGGAAAAAACCTCGAAAACAATCTATTCGTGCAATAATGTTCTGTTGTCAATGCAGCTATAATATCTATTATTTCTTGGTCTGAAAAAACTGGTTGTTGAAAAGCAAGTTACACCTAAAGGCAGTGATTATCTATAGCGTTTACAAGCAGAAGTACGAGTCGGCTGTTACGAAACGGATTCACTTGTTATTGTTAGATAAAGGTCAAAAGACCATATTGTAGAACTGAACAAAATGAGCTGAAGAATTTAGGTACTATCAGTACACACCAACAAATTAAGATCTGGTAAATGTGTATTGGTTTTGAGTTATCACTTCACATAAAGGAAGAAAAGTGAAAAAGGTAGAAGAGGGGAAAGTAATATTAGTAACAACATGCAAGATATAAATTACACGGTTGTGTAGATATGGAAATTTGCTACACTTGATCATTTGATGCACTAGTGTCCGATTTCCGGCCATCTTGTTAAAGTTTTTCAATAAAGGGTTATAATTACTGTATAGATCCCAGAAATAAATAGTGAACTTTTTGGTTGGCGCAAAACAAACACTGGTACGACGGCATTCGCAGTTACCCGGCCTTGCTTACTTCAAGGTTACTGCAGTACCTCGAAGTTATTCTTGGTTCTTGAAATATCATAATACGTACAGTTAGCCATGGTAAGTTATTCCATTTTGATAGGGTCAGCTAAAAGAAACATTCTTCAGCTAGGAAAAAATGCAAAAATTACAACACATAAAGGCATCCCCAAAAAGGCTTTAAATGGTTCCAAACCAAGTGCTTAAAACAGAGTGCTGTTAGTATATTCAGTTCGTTAATAGAAGATTCAAAGGTAAACCCTCAATTCTAAACACAAGTTGATCAGTTTTCGAAAAAATAGTCTCTAAAACACAGAATGGTATTAGTCTAGAATGTTTAGGACAGTTCTACAAGAAAAACAAAATACATTACTCTAACATGAGGTACCTGTAGTGGAACGCTTCTACGAAGAAAATACGATTTGTGAAAAATAAAAATTAATGTACTCGTTTTGTTTAACTGTACCAAAAACACTTCTACCACCTATTTCGCACAACGTTCTGTTCGCGTTGCTGTCATCTTTCTTTATTTGCTGTTCCTGATATAACGCCTACTGTCTCCTTCAATAAAACATTGGATCATAGATTTATTTTGATCTCAATAACGGCAGGATATTATGGAACATTTAGTGGTAAGCATAGTCAATCTGGTATACTGACTCGCTGACTACATACGCATAAATTCCTAAAGAAATGAGAGTAGTATCTAATTAATTTAGTTAGCTGGAACCAGACATCAGAGTGAAATAAGGGCCATATTCAATCGGAGGCTGCCCGTCTACCTTGTGTCTATTGTGCTAAAGTAAACTGCCAATGTGATAACACTCTGGAAAACTCATATGCTGTTGTATGAGCTACCAGGCAGTAATATAGTTTACAAACAAATAGCTGTACTTCTGAAGGAACACTTGTCATCTATATGTTACATAGGATTTCTAGTTTGCGTAGAATGCATCAACTTCAGTGATAAAAACTATGCTATTTGACTTATGTCCTAAGTATCTTATCCCCATTAGAAGTATCAAAGACTACCTACAGCCCTATCACACAGAGGATAAAAGTCAGTCAGTAATCTAACAGAAGTCTAGTGGCATTAAATATCTTCCTCATGAGTTAGTATAAACAAACTGATTTCTCTGCTGTCGCTTCCCGTTCTTTCGGTTGGGTTCCAGTCATTTGATAACATCCAGTGGATGGTAATCTAGCCACTTGACTGCGCTAATTCTAGTCAATCGGCATTTGTTAATGAATTTATATGTCAAGTGATTTGAGTGCGTTTGTTTCCGGAAATCAGCCTTTCTCGGAAACCAGCAGCTTTCATAGTACCAGGCCGGCGATCATTTAGTTGCAAAGTGCAGAACAGTAAATAGAAAATTGCAATCAGATAAGGAGAATTTAATAATAATAATAATATTTATTTTCAAATAACTACGTTACGAGAGGCATGCGATTTTACAGGCTAGATCAAATTGTCACGAATGCTTTCAAATTTTCTGTAAAAGTTATCGCATTTAAATTAGGTATAAGAGTCAGTTTCTGGTAGCACATTTACACCATGTCACTGACAGAAACAGTATAATACAGCGACATTTTTGATAGGAGAGTACAAATAAGGAAGGTGTACAGTAGGTTCCTTTCGCGATTTGCTGATATCAATAGTGAATTTGTTGGGAAAGGTCAATTGGAATGCGCTTGATACGAGCTGTGATCCAGACAATCATGTACATAGGGTGCATGTTAAATAGAGGCGCCAAGGATTCCCCACCGTGAATAGGGTTCTGAAAAGGGAGAAAAGAGAGAGAGAAAAACAAGGCAGCAGCGTGACAAGTATATATATATATATACATATATATATATATATAATCAAAGGACTTCTTAACCTGTCATGTTGAGGTAGTCAATACAGTGGTAAGTCAAGATAGAATTCATACTGACCACTAAAATTAGAGTAAATTATGGGAATTTAAGAATATGACCCACAGATGAAGGAGTACAGCAATGAAGAAGGAAGGGTTGTGGAGAGTGTCAAGTGGGTAGAAGAGAAGTTTGAGTAAGAAGCTGGATTTATGTACGTTGAAATCGAAATTCCAGTCATGAACTATGTTTGTAATCAATTGGGAGTGAATACTGCGTGAGTGGATGGAAGTGTAGGTAAAGAAGAGGAAACTGAGATAATAAATGAGGTAAAACGAATTAGTTATCCTAGTAAACTATAAGGATATCAACAAGTAAGTTTTGATAAGTGCATCAGACACAGGTGGTTTGAGCGCAAAGTGGTAATCTATAAGTGAGAAAGTGTTCATTAATACTCTTCTTGAAGCAGTTCGTTGAGGTTATCAATCAAACTGGGATGGTATTCCAAGTTAGGTCAACTGTTGGTGGGAAAGGGCGCCTGTCTTGCTGTTAGCTGTTTGATATGAAAATTTTTGACGGTTACCTCAAGAGGCGCGGTGGTGATGTTCTGAAAAAATATTCTTTTGAATATGATTCGGAGTACTTGATATGTTGTATGCTATGATCATAGTGATGGGCAGTGGCCTATGCTCTATTAGGGGTAACTCCGTTTGTTCTAATATAACAACGCGGAAATAATCCAAAATATTGGTTTCGGTTCCGTACTCGAAGTCTGTCATCTATGTACATTTCATTTGAAGTACGTCAGCGTTTCGTCTAATCATCGTGACTGCCAATCTGGTTTTCCGGTTAATGCAGTAAATGATGAGCTGAAGGTTATCGCCATCAAAACTGTTCACAACTATCCCCACATAGAGGGGTATATTTCCGTAGCTATTAGTTATAAAACAGTTGGTAAGATGTAACAAAAAGTCTTAGCATGAGAGTAAATCCGGCTTCTGCAGCAACGGGGTATTGTATGTGGCTGATACTTTGGATGCACGATGTGCTTGTGAGCGTCCTAACTACCAATTGTTGCAATGAGATCTTATTTTAAATGCACATTGATGGAGGTACGTGTGCACTCCTTGATCACAATGATCGTCACAAATTCTTTTCGACATTGCACCCGTTGATTATGGTAGCGAATATTGACTTCGTTTTTCTAGCAATGGGGATAATGTCCTGGCCCACGGAGAGTGGAGATCTAAGGGAGACATTCGCTAGCAATAACTACTCAGTCGATTCAGTCAATGAATCTCGGGCTAATAATCTCACGCGTTCATGTTTTGAAGCCTCAGAAGGCGTATGTACACAGGTTATGCGTATGTCTGGTCGTAACGAAGCAGCTTCACTCTCAGAATCTATTACTTCGGTTGAAACTTTAGTCTTCCTTCATTTTTATTCAAATTCATCGTAATCAACATGCTCTTATAGAAAGCTTACATTGTATGATGACTTCAGGTTTACTGGGTGGACGACTGTATCGGATAACTGTATCCGGTTCTCGGGAATATGTGTTCTTCTCTCCCTTTGGCTGCGCAAACGTGCACTCGATAGACAAATATCGTGCATGGACATCTTATCGAGAATGCAAATTGATCAGCAGCTCAATCCTGGATCACATAACAGCTTGGGTCACAATCGACATCATAAATCGTCTTTCAAAATCCTCTATGAATTGGAAAGAACTGGCTCTATAAAAGTTTGTATAGGGAATTTGTGCACAGCAATTCATCTTTTCAAACCCAACGTCTGTGAACAGAAAAGTCATGTTCAACCCGTTACTCTTCCACGGTCTCAGCGCCTGTTCGGATTTCCATGAATTACTAATACTGATTGCATTTGTATTCTCTTCCTTTACCAATTAGACGTTTATCTTAAGATTTTATACCTCTTAATTCTTGAAAAAAACTGGTTCGTAACACGAGCTCTCGATGATTTTGGGTTCCTTTGG